GGACTAGATGATCTCTTGAGATCCCTTCCAATCCTTGACATTCTGTGATTGTAAACCATAATCATTGTAATGAAAATATCTGTGTCAAAAAGGGAGAGAAATAAAGCCCAAGAACAGGATAAGTGATGCACAATGCAATTTCACACCACCCACTGACTCGATGCTGGAGCAGCACTCTACCCCTCTTGGCCAACTACATGGAGCACTACATCCTATTTTGGCCATGCTCCCTCCCAGTTTCTTGTGCACCTCTTTGCTGGCAGAGGATGGCAAACTGAAAAGTCTTTAACTTAGGATAAGCCCTACTTAGCAACAACTACAACATCAGTGTGTTATCAACATTATTCCCACACTAAATGTACAAAATCTCAACACTGCATCAGCTACTAGGAAGTAAATCAAGTCTATCCCAGACAAAAGCAGGATAGCAATACATGCTTAATTAAGCTTTTCGTATGTGGTGGAGTGTGCTTGTTGAGTTTTTTTTCACAGCATTTGTTAGAACAACTTCTAAGCCTTAACTTCTAAAATCACATGGGGTAATTCTGTTGCAAGTAACTGACTTCAGCATTTTAAAATACTGGCTTCACTGTACAAAAATAAAAAGAACTTCACACTTTCTGCTTCAGTTTATTTCTATATGAATACATTAATTTCTCAGAATATATATTCTCAGACCCAAATTTTGAAAATGTATTTAACAAGCATGTATTATTAATGACAGCTCGAATTAGGCTTCCACACAACTGCAGGAGTACCAACATAAGATTCTTGGCAGCAAAGGAAAAAGACAAAGTAACGGAGAGTGCTCTCTTATGCTAACACACTTACAGACCATAACGATATGTACATTGTGCATTTTTAAAATGTCTGTTTATTTTTGTATATCTTTGCCTATGCAAACTTATAGCTAGAGGGTTTCTTCTATTTTTATATTTTAATGTTCACCTTTAGCTGTAGTGTCTTCTCTAAGTTTTCAATCTTCCTTTCAGCTATTTTAAGCTTCTTTAGCTCCTCTGACTCGCTAAAAGAGCTCTTTGGGGACAGAGACCTTGAATGTTTCACAGGTGGTTCCTGGAGAATAAAACAAGGACATGGTTGAACTAGTTGGAACACCGGATTATGAAAGACATGCAGAATTAAAGAAGAAGTAATTTTGAATACTAATAATGAATTATAAAAAAAAAAATCTGCATGGAATACCAGAGAAATAACAAGCAGAATTACCACAGCGCTACCACTAAAGGTTTCTCTGTGACTCGTTAATGAGAATATTCATTTACATTTACATTGTTTCTTTCAGAATAATGATGTCCCATTAGGGAAGACTAAAGGGTTATAGACTCAGAAATGCAAGAAACCTCATTACAAAGGAGGGGATAGAGGCTGGTCTAATTGCTCTATAAGGGTCCAAGGTTACACTTGATAGGACAACCAGAAACAAGAGGGAAAGGATTTTTTTCCCTTTGAAATAGTTTAACACACTGTGAAGTTGAAGGAACAATATGCTTGAGGAATATAAATACAACAGACAGTAGATCTTATACCATAATGACCATATGGTCATTAACTATAATGTGACTAACTAGAGACAAGAATATGTGTTTATATTATGTACAGCTTCATATAGCAATCTGGAGCAAGAATATGCCAAAGTAACACTTAAACTGGGCAGCTTTCTTGTTCATTCTATGTCATATGTCCTTATTGCAAAAAAAAAAAAAATAGAAAGACCTCATCAAATTACACTTTCTGACTCTCTGAATAACTTTGGTTAAGGACAGAGAAATACTAACACAAATTTAATACCAATAAGTTAGAATGCTACTACGTAAGTACGCAAAGTCAAACAAAAAGTTAGGATTAACAGTTATTATTGTTGCTGCATGCTGCCGTTCTCACTGCAAAATAACTTATTTACAACAAACGGAATTTGGGATAAAGTCGTCTTGAATATTATGAATTTCAACACTTTTACTATTCGATTAAATTAACTTAATCTGAAAGAGAATCTTAATTAGCGACTGGCATTTTCTTTGACTGTTACATTCCAGTATGAAATGTTCAGAAGACACTGCATTCCACACTTTCACTTTGAATCATACTGGTTTCCAAAAGGGAGAAAAACAAAAGCTATAATGAAATAATAGAAAATTATAAATCATATATTTAAGAATTTAATTATAGTCAATTTTGTCATATGGTTCTGGATTCCTTTTGCTTCCAAAATGTGCCCGAATGAGATTTAAAACAAACAAATAAAAAACCACAACACCCAGAAAGAATTTTAGTTCTTTTAAAATCTAGATCTCAAATGGACGTATTTTGTATATTCCGGTCAGTTCCTTTATATCGCAGAAAAAAAACAGAATAAAGTTTTAACGAACATTTTAAACAATATTTCCAATTTTACGGTTTTATGTTAGCATAACATTGTGCTGCCTAAGAGTAGATCTCTTTGAAATAGTAATATTACTGACTTTTTTTTTCCCTAATATTTCTGGTAGAGTTATCCAAAAGTTTAATTCAGTTAACAGGTGCTGATATTAATCAGTAAAGATTTTAACACTGCACAATACCAAACTGATCTCTTTCAGGTGTCTGAAGCAGAATATTCCAAGACCAACATATCAAAAAATACACTCATCTTCTAAGCACCAGATTTCTTGAATAAACCCAAGATCTTAAATAAAACTCCTATGTTTCACATTTCCTAATCATTGCCTAATGATACTGATTTTTTTTCTAAAATATTAGAATGTATTTTTTTAAATAAATGTTTTCTAATTAAATTTCCTGTTGGTTTATAGAAGATTTGGAAAATAAATGATCTCTCTGACCTCAGGAATAAAAGGTCAAAGACTGCATCTCTTGCCAAAGAGAAGGACAATAAAGAAAAAGAAGTGAACCAATCAGCACCAGATTGCTAAGAGTAACCAAGTAGAAAGGCTCTATGGAAGAATTAAGAAAAGAAAGAAAAATATAGAAAAATGTAAAGTTGATAGTCTTGCTGCTTTATCAAAGGTGGTCAGATACAACAAGTACACAGTTGTTTTTTATTTAAACATATATATATATATGTTTATATATGTGTATATATATACACATACACACACAGACTTTCTATATAGCTACCTGCGACTGTGCCATGAATCTGTTCCCAAGGTATGGAAAAAAATAGAGAAAAATTCTAACTATCCATGGACATGGAAATAACTCCCTGTGAGAACACGTGGGATTGGTGATATGCATCAACATTCTACTGTTGAATACTTTCTAACCTGTGTCGTGATCAGACTAGAGGTCTGTGGAAAGAAGTAGCTGGGTCTGGGCTTTACAGCTGCCTATAAGTAATTCGAAGGCAATCTTTGCTAAGGAGGCAAACAGTTTAATATTCCTACAAGATAAAAGAGACTGTGTAGTAAAATACTCTGTAATTTGATTGCCTGGGACTGCCACAGTTTGTAAGATGGTATCTGTAATACCCTTCTCACAACTGCAAATTTTGCTGCTTCTGCTGCTGCCAGGTTTAAGCATTTAATTTTTAATTCAGTCCCTAAATTCTACAATAAATTTAGATGTACCTATTTTAAATATATACATAAGCTGTAATGTTAGACACATTTCCTAAATGTTTACGAGTAAGAAAAAGTCCCATTTTATGAGCAAAGACTGTTAATGCAAGTCAGTAAAGGGTCACAAAAGAAGATTTTTCATAAAATGATCCTTAAAACATATTTACAAAAGACTAAGCCAAGTAGCAGAAAATCAGAAATAAATATACTTTGTAATATTAATAAATACAAAAATTTGTGATAGATTTAATATAAAGAAATAGCTGTTAAGTAAATGGAATACACATTAACTGTTAAAGGAGGTACAGTAAGCAGAGAAAGGAAAGATGCCTCCTTCTAAACAACCTTTTGTTACCTGTCTAAACCATGAAAGACACCATGGCATGAAGGTGGAAATAGTCACATTCTTGACTTCAACAGGTCTTGTGTTGGATGAGTCCCAAAACAAGGCAAAAAAAATAAAAAAAAAAAGGAAGTACTGAAATGTCTTGTGGAAATCTTCTGCGCACAAAGATCAGATCAATGTTTGCCAGGAGACAGCACGGAAGACAGTGGGTGGAAATCTTACTGCCTGCATCAGTTGAAGAAACAGCAGCATTTCTTGAAGCTGAACCAGAGGCCAACAAGACACTGGTGGATTTTTTTTTTTTGAGAGAAAAATAGCAAATTCTTGGTGCACTATATTTCAACAGGAACTCTGTAAGTACTGAAATTTAACCGATGCCCTTTAATATCTTGACATTATAGACTTAGAAAAATGCTTTGGAGTGTACATAAGTAAAAGGCAATTATAACTCCCAGTGTATGATACAACGGGAAAGCTTGCTGTAAGATACGCGAGGGCTGTGTTACTGAATCTGTCAGCAGATATATGGAAGACAGTTTAATCATGTAACATATCATACATGCTTCGCAAAGTTATGAAATTTAAGCTCTAGAAAGAGCTCTAGGAAGATCAAACAACTGACTCTTATGTCCTTACAGAAATCAACACCCAAAGCAGAGTCATTCTGATCAGAAGGGATTCCACGTTTGCTTATTCTTTGTGTTCTGGGAACACACGTAAGGGGAGATGAAGGGTTGACATGACAGAGTCTTTGTGAAGCCAAAATGTTCTTGTGAAGCCAAAATGTTCTTGTAAAAAAGGACTTGTATATCCAACATATTCTTCTTGTCGAATCATGCTCTAATAACTTCTGTCATGAATACTTTTGTTATAAAAGACTGAAAAACAAGGTATTAGGAAGACAGTTCACTGCAAGGGAAAATCAGTAGAGGCAGCAGTACTTTCTTTTCTATTTTATATGTATATTTTGTGATCCTCAAGCCAGATTGTTTCTATAATTTTCCTTACTGTCTTGCCTAAGTACAAAGGATTTGTAGCCTGTCAGTTTAGTTCTGAAAAGTTTTAACAGAGACTGCATGCACCTGTGAAAAAGTGTCCAGGTGAAACAACTCTCAGTATTGAAAAGAGCATGACTAGGATTTACATATCAAAACAGGAGAAGATTCTCTACAATTGGATTTAAAAGTTTCCATTTAGTCTTATTCAAGAGAACGTAACTTCTTTATTCCTGACACAGTGATCAGTTCATGACAAGCACAGTATTCTCATATACATTATTCTGAGAAAACAAGAAATGACATAGTGGTGGGTTAACCTTGGCAAATGGTCAGATATCCACCCAACCACTCACTCTGCTCACTCACCAGAACAGGCGGTAAAAAAAGATGAAAAAGCTTATGGGTTGAGACAAAGAAACGGAGATTGCTTACCGTTCATCAACACAGGCAGACTCAGCTTGAGAATATTAAGGTTTTGCCAGTTAAAATAGATTTGGGAAGTAAGAAATAAAATATTAAACTGACACTTTCTCTCCCTACCTGCTTCCCAGGCTCAATTTCACTCCTTACCTCCTGACTCCTCTACTTGCTGCTGAGCAACGCAGAGGGATGGGGAACAGAGGGTTACAGTCAGTTGATAACAGCTCCTCTCAGCCACTTTCCCCTCACTTTTCCCCTGCTCCAGCATAACACTGGAGTCCTTCAGGACAAACCTGTGGGTCCTCCATGGGCCACAGTTCCTGTCAGAAGAACCTGTTCCAGCATGGACTTCTCCCCACACACTGTGGTTTCCATGAAGAATATCCATCTGTTCTGGTGTGGGCTATAGCCCACTGCTCCACAGTGGTCCTCTCCATGGGCTGCAGAGAAATACCTGCTTGGTTACCCTGAGCATCTTCTCCCTCTCCTCCTTCTTCAAACTTGGTCCTTACAGGGCTGTTTCTCACCTTGTGTTCCTCATTCTAAACTGCCTGTGCAGCATTTTGTCCTTTCTTAAGCACATTTTCACAACCAAATTCTCCTAAATAAATGTGCTAAAATATCTCTTTTCCCAGAAATGGCATATGGTGCAGGACAAGGAGAAACCATACAGTTTTCAAAGGAAATTTTATGAGATTATGGAAAACCAGGAGATTCATAAAAAAGCAGAACGTG